TGTTATGCAACAAAATGAAACTCCTGCCCCTCTTCATCACCACACTTCACACTCACACGCAGGCAAGCACATCACATAAGCCCATTACAACTCTGGTCAGAACTGTTAGCAACAATTGGCTCCATAAGTTGTTCAGAATTCTTCATTCTTTTCTTTAAAGCAGAAAGCTATATCATCCTCCTATACCATAAAGAGAAAAAGCAGATCTGCCCTAAGCCAGTGCTTTGTGTCTCTTACAAAACTGTATCTGTTCAGCTGCTACATTACCCAGGAAGGGATGGAAAGTTCCAACTGCGGGGAAGCTGAGGAGGATGACCACTTTTCTAGAACTTATTGAGTCAACTGTTTTTTCCAAGGCTTGATTATTTTGCCTGAAGTGTAGTAAATCATCTAGAATGTCAGGCACAACTTTAAAAACACATTAGATAACCAACTTTCTCCAAACCTTATTTGTTCTCTATTAGCAAAGTATTAAACCTTTTAAAATGAGTAACAAAGTTGTAAGTCACTTAGAAATTTTGGCAATCTTGGAGAGACACCAATAGAAAGACAAAGTGCTTCAAAATGAACTTATTAGGGTTGGCACAGCAGTATATCAGACTAATCCTCAGCCTGTAGCACCAGCATCTTATATGCCTGTCAGTTCGTGTCCCAGCTGCTCCACTTTCAATCTAACTCTCAGCACATGGCCTGGGAAAGTCTTAGGCCTCTGCACCCACTGAGAGACGAGAGGAAGCTCCTGGTCAGATCACCCGCAGCAGCAGCAGCAGCAACCATTTGGGGAGTAAACCAGCAGATGGAAGATCTTTTTCTCTCTGTAGAATCTACCTTTCTGGTGGTGTCTGTGTTCACTGAGCCTGACGGAGGCCAATGAGGGAGGCTGGCACTGTGAACTTGAATTAGCTCTGTGGGTGCCTCCGGTATGAGACAAAAAGGATCCTGACTGCCAGCAGGCTCCCCATGCCTCTGCTGCTCAGCTTTCAAGCGAATGCTTGGAAGGTGCTGGGCTCCCCAAGGAGCTAGGAGCTCCAGTAGACTTGCCTTCCACTTTGTCACATCTACTAGTAGCCTTTCCCCCAAGCAGTCCCTTATAATCCTTTTCCCCAGGAGGCCCATAGGGCAATTTGTATAGTCTTCACCATTTATTGTTCTGCAAAAGTGGAAGTGGATTAGCCAGCACTCAGGAGACCCCAGATCTCTGCATCACCTGACAAACTCAACCCCATCCACTCAGACTAGGTAAGACCAGGGAATCTGCATTAAGAATCTCACTGACTCCTTGATCTCAGCCAGTCCTGGGTTCTTGTCGTATTCAATACTCATTTTTGTTCCAAATCTCTTGTAACTTTCCCCATCCCCAAATGTTTGGGGTCTCCCCTTAGGGTTTGTAGTTATTCTCAGAACCTTCTAGACTGGATTTGCTTGCCAAGTGGAATGTTGTTTCACAATGCAGACTTAAGTCATAAATGTGAAAATCAGGCTACTTCCAAAGCCAAGCACAGATCCAAGCACAGATGGGCCTGTGTGCCCTGGGGGCTTCAGCACTTGGCAGTCAATCCTCCATAAAGCTTAGGATTGCCAAGCTGCCCTGCCCTTCTAAAGAACCTACTGGTTGGCCCTCTGGCCTTGTCAAATCCTCGCTCCCTGTTCTCCCCTTCTGACATCCACATGGCATATAAACTAAAGGAAAGCATCCACTATTTTCTTGACAAGAATTAACTTACCAGTTGATTCACAAACAAATGGCTTCTTCAGGGCTACCAGTGGCCAGTTATCCTCTGGCAATGTAAGAACACCTAAAGCTATATCCATGAACGGGGAAGATGGGGTCCCCAACATTCCTGGGGTGCAGCCTACCCCTCCTACTAAGCTGTCTTGCTCCAAGCAAAGAAAAATATGATGATTCCAAGGCCACCCAGGAAGTTCAATTTACAAAAGCATACAGTGAAAACAAAAACAAAACAAAGCAAAAAACAGCATACGGTGCCAGTGCTGTGGTGCTGTGTGTTAAGCCACATTCTGCTGTGTCCACAACCCATGTGGGTGCAGGTTTGAGTCCCAGTTGTCTGACTTCCAGTCTAGTTCTGTGCTAATACACCTGCTAAAGCAGAGAAAATGGCCCAGGTATTTGGGTCCCTACACCCACTTGGGAGACCCAGAAGAAATTTGTGGGTCCTGGCTGCAGACAGCTCCAGTTGTCACAGCTTCTCTTCTCTCTAACTCTGGCTTTCAAATATATAAATCTTTTTAAAAAATAATTAAAATAAAATCTACTTTTCGAATAAATAAATCTTTTTAAAAAGGTGAGCTTATTTCCCCTATACATAAAAACAAAACAGTTCCTGTAGCAAAAAGTGATGACATTGAGCAGAAACACATTCAGTCTTTCTTTCCTGAAGAGATTACTGTGTATTCTTTATTACAGAGCATTGGAACTCAATTAACAATTAAAAGAGAACTTTTTCTTCCGAAAGGATAGAAAAGGGAAAATCAATATTATTAAGAACAACCTAAGTATCCAGCACTGCTAGATTCTTTTACACATTTTATGGCATAATCACTGCTAGAATATGATTACAATATAATATTTCTTTTAAATTAAATCATGTTGCATCAAAAAGAAGAAGAGAACTACAACTGCAAACAGGACAAATCTCTCTTGTCTTTCTTCCACTCTGACCCACTCCCTAACTTTAAAGTTCTGATGCTCCTTGTGGAATTCATATTTCCCAGGGTGATAATGGAAGATATTATTAACTTATACATTACAAACAAAAATGCAAAACTTGATTGGTGAAGATCACAGGAGGTACCCCATGAGAAACAATCATTTACAATCATTTACATATAATTAGCTTTTCAACTTTACAAATGATTTTATAGCCTTTGTTTCATTTTCTAAAACCAGCTTTTTAAAAGATTTATTAATTTATTTATTTCATTGAAAAGTCAGAACCACAGAGAGAAGGGGAGACAGACAGAAAGATCTTCCATTTACTGGTTCACTCCCCATGTGGTCACAACGGCCAGAGCTGAGCTGATCCAAAGCCAGGAGCCAGGAGCCAGGAGCTTCTTCCAGGTCTCCATGTGGGTGCAGGATCCCAAGGCTTTTGGCCATCCTTGACTGCTTTCCCAGGCCACAAGCAGGGAACTGGATGGGAAGTGGAGCAGCCAGGACACAAACTGCCATATGGGAATGATGATGTGTGCAAGGCAAGGATGTTAGTCACTAGGCTACCGTGCCAGGCCTTTTGTTTCATTTAATGATTATTAAAACTCTGTAAAACCATTAGTATGGTCCTACAGGTGGGTAACCTGAGAGTTAAGAAGACTGAATAGCTATGACAGAATTCACAGCTATTATATGATGAATTCAGGTTTCCAAGCCAAAAATCAAACCTCAAGTGTACACTGTACCTGAGTAATGAACTGGTTCTTTCATTGGTGTTAAAGTAGGATCTGAGAACGAGTCTTCATTCTTCCTCATCCACATCTTTCATTAGTCACCAAGTCCTGCCTGCTTCAACCTTTACAGTGTTTCTCAAAATCTCTGTGCTCTTCTCCACTACCTTGCCCTTTCCCATCCCTTACTCTAATTGTAATAGCCTTCTAATTGCTCTTCCCACCTTATTTTGTGACATTCAATGCATCTTCAAAAACCAACAGGTAGACTCCAAATATAAAGAAAAAAAGAAAAAAAAAAGGAAATGGAAAGGCTAGTTGGCAGGTTTTGGTTATTTTTACCTTCATATGCACTTTAAAATATTCTTCAGTATGCAAAAAAATCACAAGTATTACATGTTAACCAATAAAATAATTTGGAAGGAACAAAACCACCAAGGTGCCAAACTTTAACTGTGATCACAGTATCTTACTACTCACATTTTCTGAAGCTATTAAAACTAAACAAACAACTGAAGCAAATTGCAGACATTCACAGTGCTCCATGGTCCTGACTTACCAACCTCACCTCCATTTGCCATCAGCAAGTCTTCCCTGTGATCATTCACTGCCCTTCCACCTGAAATGTCCCTCCTCCATTCCCACTGGCTGAACTGCTACTGTTTAGTACTCTGAGGTTCATTTCAAAGTTCTTTCCCCAGTCTCTCTTCCAGGTGTCCTACTCCACACACACACACACACACATACTCCTCAGGGACCTGCCTCTGTTTTTTGTTTTGTTTTGTTTTTCATAAGATCCTGTGACTATTTTTTTCTTATTCATTTCTCATCAACTTTCATAAAAATCTGTCTTCTGGATTATATCCTCTGATGGGGTATGAGTTTTTTGTGGTCAAGGAAAATATCACATACATCTGGATATCTCCAACACTTGAAACCATATCTTATACAAAAACCACATGTCTGCTGTGTGAATTGATACACTAATTATGAAAAACAGTTGTTGGCTTCAGAATCCTGCGCTGATATGAGAGAACTTGAGAAGACGGTGTTGAAATGATGTGAATGCGGTGAATTAGCAGATGACAAGAACATGAATTACAGAAAACTCTAAAGATGAGTGTTGACCAAAATCCTTAATAAAGATAGTGAGCTATTAACTTGGCACTCAGGGGGGAAGTTATTTAAAAGTACCACAGAGCAGTGCCAACCAAACCATCCAATGCCCCAGCCATGGCTGTATAAAAGCACAATTTGTCCTAGGACACAGAAGATTTCTTTTCAGATCACAAGACAGACATCTGTATCAGGATTCACATTCACATTCCCTTAACAATTACTCATCAGGAATTCTCTCTAATGTCTGAAAAGCATGTATCATTTTTTGATTCTCCTTGGCAACCTCTGGCTACTGTCCAACTTTCCTTTTCTTCATGGAACTCCAAGTATCTTTTTCCTCTTCTGTCTTCCAATGCCTCCTTGTTTTTTTGTCTCTCATCTTATTAATTATGTTAGACCACCATTAACCTTGAAACTCCTGGAAAATTCTGCTGGTTAACATATAAATCTAATTGCAGAAAGTATACAGGTTAATTAAGTCCTTACCTTATGTGCCACATCTTCTGTTCTTGCTGTCGCCTCTGCTCGTTCTTCACTTGGCCAAACCTTTCACCTCCTTCAAGTTCCAGCTCAAATGTCCAATATTCTCCCACTCTAGAAGCAGAATACAATGTTCTCTACTGGTTAATTTGTTTAAAGAGCTAGGGTAGCTTTTATAGCACTTCTGGATTTCATTTGCTTACACAACAGACTCCACTATCAGACTATGAACTCATGAGGACAGTATCAAACATTACCTATCTTGAGCTATTTTACATTAAACAATGCCTAGAATACTGTAGACAATTTCCCTTCTATGGTGTCAAGTTCACTCAAAGTCAAAGTTACCAAGACCTACTCTAATCAAAGTTGGGTGACGAAAGAGGAGAAAAACTGAAGACTGAATAATATGGGTACCAAGCATTCAATTATTTAACAAACATTCATTGAGCTGCTACTGTAAAACTCATTACTTTAGAGCTGAGGACATGGTGAGGGCCCAGCACAATAGTCTAAATCCTTGCCTTGCAACTACCAGGATCTTACATGGGTGCCAGTTCGTGTGCCAGTTGCTCCACTTCCCATCCAGCTCCCTGCTTGTGAGCTGGGAAAGCAGCCCAAAGCCTTGGAACCCTGCACCAATGTAGGAGAACCAGAAGAGGCTCCTGACTCCTGGCTTAGATCAGCTTAATTCTAACCATTGCAGGCCACTTGCGGGGTGAATCAGCAGATGGAAAATCTTTCTCTCCTTCTCTCTGTATATCTGATTTTCCAATTAGTCTAACAGAGTTTTTAAAATAAGTAATTATACAATCACCATGCAAGTTATACACAAATCAAAGAACAGTTAGAGAGCGCCTGACAGCATATGATAGACAAGATTCAAAGTGAAAGAAGAAAAAGTGTTTTCCCGGGGTGAATGATACTCAGGCTTAAAATAGAGGAAACAACAGGCATGGATGAACTAAAAGGCAAAGTTGGGGAGACTGAAGTGTACTTGAAGTATAAGGTAACTTAGAAAACTATAAAAAGTCCTACTATAGTCTTTCAATTGCCCCTCCAAATGCACTTGTCACACTTTTGAAACATATTTTGTACCTGAAAAGCCTCACTTTTTTGTACTTTCCTGTCTCTCACTTCTGACTGGGGCTCATCAATGTAATGCATTTGAAGGTGAACATGGAAATCTGAGTATTTACTCCCCAACTTCTACCCTGCAAGATAGCTCTGATTGGCTTCACTCCTCCACCTATAGCCTTTGCTTTTATTAGGTCGTCCTCTCCATGGAGTTATGCTTTTAGGCTATGTAATGGTTCCCTCCATTTGTTTTTCATACCTAAGCACAGTGACAGCTCCCTGAGTTGTTACCCAAAGAGTACAGAGCTATTCTTGGACAGTTTCCTTATATCCTGTGCACATTCTTGTACTTAGCCATTGTGCCATGTGCTGATTGACCCAAAGGTCATATAAAAGCCAGACCACGCAAAAGATTTTAAATTATAGGAGCTTTAGATTTAGCTCCAAGTGCCATGGGAAGCCAATGAAGTGTTATGTTAGGGTTAGACTTCGTGTTAGGGTTAGGTTTAGGGTTAGGTTTTGGGTTAGCGTTAGAGTTAGGGTTAGACTTAGGATTAGGCTTAGAGTTAGTGTTAGCATGAGATTAGTGTTAGTGTTAGCAAGTGAGATAGGTGATCAAGTTTGCAGTTTTTAAAATTACTGCATTAGCTGCTATATGGGTAACAGGTAGAAAATGATATGAAAGCAGAAACGGGGAGGTCCAGTGAGGAGACAACTATAGTCACAAAGATGACAAATGTCGGGCTATGATGAAATAGTTTTTAATGGCTGCAGAGACTGCGACCCAACAAGCAGCAGTGAAATCCCAGCAACATTCTGAACACATAATACATAACTGCATGGCTCCGCTGACGCAGAGACTGAACCCTCATCCTCATTCCCATTTCCAAGACCACCTGACACAGGTCACTGAACTCCTTTCTTCCCATCGCGCAGCTTAGATGCCCCAAATGAAATTACCTCCTTACCAACTGCCATGTACCTTGCACCTGCTGGTAAGAGTGCTCTTCCTCTCAACCAAGTCCAACCCATTCTCCAAACCCTAGCTCAAGGATAATAACTAGTGCCAGTTTCTTAGTATTTTCCAAACGTTATGTAACTAGCATCGGCTCATATAATGCACCCATCATTCACTCCAGTTTACAGAAGAGGAATCTGAGGCTCACAAAAATCAAGTGTTCCTCATTCCACCTCACATTAGACTTGAACCAGCCCTGGGTAACACCGAACCCTGTGTCTGATTCAGATCCAACACTGCTCCTCAAGTTAATGACTGATAACTTGCTAAGTGACATTCTACTAAGCACTCCCTTTAATTGTTTTATTTGATCCTTTAAATAACCCTAAGGGATAAGAACCAATTTAAATATCATTTATAGAGTATGACACTAAAGTAGAGAAAGTAAAAAACTGGCTCAAACTCAACACCCTCCACAAGGCTTTGGCAAATGCCTCACGCTCTTGAGGATTATTTCTTCTTCCTCTGTATCTCGGGCACTGTAATGCATCTCCAACACCATCACCATCCACTTTGCTTCAGGTCACGGATGCTCAGCCTATACCACTGGTGTTATAATATACTGCAAGGGCAGCCTGGGCCTGATTCACCATCAGTTCCTCTGAGGCACCTGCCCATGGTAACCCCCACAGCCATTCCCTAATAGCAACTGTGGCAGGCAAGCACCTGCATTATACTAAACTATGGGCACTGAAATACCCACAGACTGCCTTGAAGGAAATCAAGCAGTAACAAAAAGTGACAGGCCATCTGACGCTTGTGCAGACACATTGTTGGGCCCTCCAGCCAAAGCAGATCCCTGCTGTCTCTTTCAGCCCCTAGACTCCTGAATCACATTCAGCTGAAACCTAGAGGCTTTGTTCAAACCAACTAAATTTCTATTAATTGTCAGTAGCTGGTCAGATAGTAAAAACGATCAGAATGGTGAACAACTGTGTACTGCTCCATGACACTGAGTGCATTAATAAATTAATTTACTTCAGCTATAGACTCCTGATTTATATAAAAATAATGAATAAGAACTTCCCCATAGGACTATTATCAGGCTTAGGTGAGACATCATGTGAAAAACATCAGGCAGAAAATGGTGGTTAGGTGTAAATACATAAATAAGAGGCTTAGTATCTGGCACATCAGGTTTAGTCACTATCTGCAATATCACCATCCTTTTTATTATTATTATTATTATTATTATTATTATTATTATTATATTTTGACAATCTTTACATAGTTAATTAGGGTAAAAAGGTTCAAGGGCTATAGGAAAGTGGGTAAGATTATTATTTCCATGTTGTTTCCTTCATGTTTAAAAGGGGGTATTAAGGAAGATGGCCCACCCAATTTCCCACCTTCCCCAGGTCCTGGATGTTGGGTATGCTCTGAGGTTCTTGCTCAAGTGGTTTTGATATTTCAACAATTATGAATCACTGCCAATCTTGCCACTCCAAGCACTATGAGGTCGCTGAAGAATCCACTGGTTGACATAGTCCATCACAGAGTACCCATTTGCCTGATATTTCGCTGCCAAGATATAGCTGAGATGGTTGGTTGACCTGTTCTGTCTTCTGTCTTTTCTTGGTTAGGGTTCTGAGTCCAGCATTTCGATTGGGGAGACTTCTAAAGAAACTTTGTCTGAGGTGTGGTCAAACCAGATTCTTGTATGTGCTAGCAAGTACAGGGCCCAGCACAGTTCATCGCCCCGATCAGCTGGTGGTTGCAATCGCTGGGTTAGTTCTGTTTTCAGCCCCGACTTCCACTGGAACCAACGGGTGTTGCAGTCCAGCCTGGTTCTGCCCAACACATACTCGGTTCTCGCATAAACCAGTGGGAGCTGCAGCCTAATTGGAGCGACCCGCAATAACCCCCACCAGACCTGCCCCCTATCCTGGTTTGCCAGTATGTGTAGCAGTAGTCCAGTCTGTCCCACACCCCATTCCACCCCAGCCCCTGTCCTAGTTTTCGTGCCCTCCCGTGGAAGTGGTAACCCAAGAGGGAGGAGCCCACTATTTCCCTCCCAAGTCTCTCCCACTCCCAGGTTATGCACTCTACAGATAGTTCTGTGGTTTGACTTGACAGAACTAGCCCCCAGTGCCAGCTTCTGCCAGCTGATGTGTGGCTAAGCCCAAACAACTCTCACCCACTCTAATTTTGTTTGTACCAGTAGGAATAATCAGCCCAGCCTAGCTTTTCCCTGATTTAGTCCACATGAGGCGTACAGGTGTTGTAGCCCTGCTTGGTCTGGTCTGCCCCCATCCCAGCCTACGTTCTCCAGTGGGAGAAGCTGTCCTGCAAAGGAACCACCCCTTATTTCCCTGCCGGCTCTGCCCCCTTCCTTCCTGGTTCTCACACTTGCTGGTTGGGCGCTGTGGTCACATCTGGTACAAGCAACCTCACCTTGGCATTCCATATTGTGCACTAGTTTTTGTTGCGACCGAACCTGGCTCAACCCACACTATTTTGGTGCTTGGATTTGCCAGTGGATGACGTGGACAGATTCAGCCTGGTCTTCCCCCAACCCCTGCCAAATGCATGCCATTGGGTAACTTTCCATGGCCTGTTCTGGGCTGTTTCCTATCATGTTTCTTGCGCTTACCTGCCGGGTCTGTGTCCTGCCAGAGGAGTTGGCCAGGCTCCTCCAATACCAGGTTTCATGCATACCAGTGGGTCCATGAGCCAGCCCTACTCAGTTCACCTCCTGTCCTAGCAGGAATAGTGGCTTTTCCTGACTGGCCTTCAACCCAAACTGGTCCTTGCTGTTGAATGTTTCAGCCCAGCCATAGCTTGTCCATAGCCACATATGGCTCACACATGGCTCAGCAGGGGTTCGAGACCTTGCCTAGTCCATCGCACATCTATCCTGGTCCTCCAGGACACCAGAGGGTGTTGGAGTCTGACCCGGCTCGGTGCATCCAATCCCAGTCCAAACTTGTGCCAAGGGAGATTATAACCATTTCCCGATCAGAACGCAGCCCCCATTCCAGGCCACACGCCCCTTGCTGGGAACCTCAGCCCAGCTAGG